ATAAAATGCTTATTCAAAATTCTATGCTAAAAAGTACAATCTGAAATTAGCTTACGCTATGAGTTTTATAAAATTTTCAATTGAATATAATTTTTAATTACAATTGCTTAAACAATATTTCTTAATACGTAAGAGATAATCCATGTTTAAATTTTCTAATAACAATAGATACGCACTGAAATTCTTAGATATTTAATTGCAATTTAATATTAAAAAGATGATTTAGGGTTACATTTATTGTTCTGTCAGTGGCAATTGTTTTGCACACAATTTTGAATAAGCATTTTATTGCACGGAAAATCGAATAAGAATTGTCTTGCACTAGAAACTGAATAAGAATGATCTTGCATTTGTTTTTCAATAAGCATTATATGAACGGGAGGTGTCGAAGTAGAAAATCAGACACCCGGCAAGAAGGCTGGAAGCCGCCAAAAACCCTTCCGAGGATTGGTATCGACTTTTTGTCGTTTGGTATAAAGCGCATTGTTAATTAACAATTTTTAATAACAATTAAATAATTAATTAATGAGTGCTGGCCTCTAAATGAATATTTTTCAAAATTTCTTTTTTCAGTAGTCACTAAAAACTCTCACGAGAATTGGTGTCGACTTTTTGTCATTTGGTACAAAGCCAATTGTTAATTAACAATTTTTAATAACAATTAAATAGTTAATTAATGAGTGCTGGCTTCTAAATTGATATTTTTCAAAATTTCTCATTCAAGTAGTCGCCAAAAACCCTCTCGAGAATTGGTATCGACTTTTTATAGTTTGGTACAAAGCGCATTGTTAATTAACAATTTTTAATAACAATTAAATACCGTAAACTGGGGCTATTAGGAACACCGGGGCTATTAGGAACAAAATTCTGTTTTCGGGTGGAGTTGATGCTATCGGCGCCGTTTATCGATAACTTTTGTGTTACTTGCTTTTGAAAAATTGTTGCTGCGGTTACTGGCAACACTTTTCAATGCAATAATTGTGATTATTAATTATTTTGTGAACAATTGTAGCTTGTAAGTGACTTAATGTGTTTTAGTGAAGTTTCAAACGTGGAAAACATTTGATTGCTGAGGTAAGTTGTTTCATTGTTAACTTCTCAAAGTAATTGTTTTTTATTAATGGGATTTCTTATGGGAAACTTTATTGAGTTCACTAAGTAATAAATATGTTTATTTTGTATTTACAGTAAGATTTTAGAAACAAAAACCAAAATTCACAAACGGCGGGTATATAAGGAACACAATTATTTCTTCCGAATTGTTATAGTGTGTTGTCAGAACGTAAGTTTTTTGTAAATTCTTTTGTTTTTTATCACCTAATTTGGTTTTTAGTGTTCAAAGATGGTTCGAAATTGTAAAAGAGTGTTGGGACCGACAAGTCGCAAAAAACGACCAGTGATTCCATTATCGACCTCAACTGATGATACCAGCAACGTTTAAAACACACATTCGCTCTTTTAGTTTTGTTTTTTAATTTATTTTATATTCTGTGTTTACTTTCGAGCAATAAAAAAATAACTTCTTTAACTTTAAATACGTTTCCCAATGGTTTTTACCGCCTTGTTCCTAATAGCCCCATTTTGTAATTTCGAAGAAATGCGTCTTTTTCGTATTTTTTGCTTAAAATTCCAGCTTTGATCAAGGCAATTATTTAACCCTTTAATGTGCTCGCCAAGATCAAGAAAAGAAACAAAAAATTAAGGCAATATTTCAATACACAAAAAAGTTGCAAGACTTCAAAGTTAAAATCTGTTCCTAATAGCCCCAGTTTACGGTAGTTAATTAATGAGTGCTGGCTTCTAAATTGATATTGTTAAAAATTTATTTTTCCAGTAGCCCCCAAAAACCCTCCCGAGGATTGGTATCGACTTTTTATAGTTTGGTACGAAGCCAATTGTCAATTAACAATTTTTAATAACAATTAAGTAATTAATTAATGAGTGCTAGCTTCTAAATTGATACAAAGAAAATTTCCAAGATCATCGCAAAACTTCAATATTTTGTAAGTACTTATTTAATAATATTTTCTTCTGATTAAAGGGTAAAAGTCACAAAATTAGGTTATTTGGCAAGTAAACTTTAAAATCGTATTTAATATATTATTTGATATGATTAAAAGTTTTTATCTCTCAATAATACTAATCTTAGTATTATAGTTTATAACACTTCAAACACATTAAATTTACATTTAGCAATTATCAATAAGAATTTTAATGAAATTCTTTCCATTTTGAGTTCTTGAAATCTTAAATAATATTCCTACAAACTGTAATTATAATTTTTAAAAAATCAGTTGACAACGACTTTGATCTTAATATAATAGGATAAACTAAAATATTTAGTTTTGCAAATTTAAAGATATTAATAATATATTGCAATTTTTCCGAATGTACCACAGATGCGATTTTGTAACTTATCTTCCTTTTCACTCTACTTTCACCTCATTCACCGTCGTGGAAGTGAAGTGAGTAGAGTGAAAGTGGAGTGAAGTTACAGAATCGCTTCCCCGATTCATTTGGAATCGCCTTTATATTAAATCCAATTCAAAAATTGATTTTTTAGACAAGTTTCGATAAAAATGCACTTCTTTTAAATACGGCTGTTTATTGTTTTTTAGAAATAATATGTCTGCTTTTTTATTTTTATATAGATGCCACGGAAATGTAAAGTGGAAATTGCGGATGCAGTAGACGCCATTTGCCAATTTCAGGAAGATTCAGGAGATGGCATTTTACCACCTTACACTAACGAATTTTACACAAAAGTTTCTAAAGTCCTGGATAACAATTGGAAGAGGCATGACGTATACATAAATTTACTTGAAAATAGAAGAGAGCTTCGGAAAAAAGTTTTCACAAGACTAGGAATTGAAATAATATCTGAGAATCACGAAGCATCGATGTTAATTTCCGATGTAGTAGAAGAAAGTAATTTTTTTCAACAAAATCAATCAATAGGAAGTATTGATCATTCATCTGGTTCAAATTTTTCACTGTTAGATAGAGAGGAGTATTTCGATTTTGTGATCCGTCGAGAGCTTTGGGAGAAGATGCAACCTATGACAAAAATTTATAATGGAAGAGAATTCCAAGTTTTGACACCCGGAGTGTGGTCAGATATTATTGCTGATGAGTTCTGAAAGCAGTACAGAATGCCTTGCGCTTTTTCTTTTAAAAAACATTTAGTGTCTTCATCATCAGAAAATGATATTCCATTTATTAAAATAATTGGTGCCTGGAAGAGCCTTAAATGCAAAAATAAATTTTTCGCTATTCTAAGAGAGAAGCCAGTAGCTGGGTGTGATGTATGGTTTCAAGTGAAATGCGTGGACACAAGGCTGAAGGATCACGAAGTGATAAAGCGACAATTTCGGGCTCAAAAACGCCAAGAAATTGGAAATATTCTATTAAAGGATGGTGCAGCAAACACACGCAGAAAAATTGCAACAGAAATGCAAGTTATTGGCGATATTCCATCTCCAAATTTGTACAAAGATAAAGTTTTACGAAAAGTGCTGCAGGAAATGAGAGATAAGGAGCTGAATATTGATCCAGAGGATCAATATTCTATTTTAGTTAAACTACAAAATAGAACACCATATGTTGGATCAATTAAGCAGATTTCAGCTAGCAAATTTCAGCTACAATATCTTCTTCCTGAGCAAATCTTTGTTTGCAAAGAATTCTTTCGTTTATTTCCAGATATAGCTTCCATTAATGTCGACGGAACTGTCAGCCTTGTAAATGCGATTGGCTTAGCAGACAATGTTAAATCACCTCCTATATTTTTATATAGAATGGTGATAAATTTTAACAAAATCACAGTTCCCGTAGGTTAAATGCTGTCAGGAGCACATGATACCATCAACATAGCTTACTATTTGCTCAACTGGGTAAGAGATACAAAAATTGTTCCGAAAGAATCAGTCTCGGATTATTCTAAAGCTCTTTTAGGAGCAATGATGCTGGCATTCAACACAATGACAATTAAGGAATACATTCGAATCTGTTTTCGGCTAGCAACCAATAATGCAATTGATCAAGATGTAAAAACTTATATTCTTATAGATGTGGCGCATCTTATTCAAATATTTTGCCGCTTAAAATGTTTTGCTAAATGCAATATAGTGGTAAAAGATTTTCTTATATGATGCGTCGCATTAATGGTGTCATGCGAAAATTTCAAAGAATTTGAAGAGATTTTGTATTTAACATTTATTCTGACGACACATCAATATGAAGTACAGTATTTGAGTAGTTCCCCTGGTAAAAATTTCGGACTAATTCCGGATTAAATACGGACAGATTAGTCCGAAAATTGTACGAAAAAGGTCCGAAAATGATCCGCGCTAGTCTGATATCAATTCGAACGAAAACCTAAATCCGAAAACACTCCAGAGTAATCCTGAATGTCTACGAATTCAGAGAATCCGAGTTTAATCTAGTTAAAAAAACTTACTCCGCAAAATGTCCGGAGCAATCCGAACTCTGTAAGCTAGAAATCCGGTATTAGTCCGCAACAATTTAAAATTAAATGTGGCAAAATCCTATTCCGAAACAAATACGAAACAATCCGAAAACTGTATGCAACAAATCCGGAAATTGTCTGCAACAATCCGGATTTAATCCAACTAAAAGGCATAATCCGAAACAAATACGAAATAATCCGAAGTCTGTACGCAAAGAATCCGATATTAGTCCGCTTCAATTCGGAATTAGTGTGGTAAAATCATATTCCAAAACAAATACAAAACAATCCGAAATATGTATGCTAAAGATCCGGTAATAATCAGCCACCCGAATCATATTATATCCCTGCTAAAAATTTCGGACTAAGCCGGATTAAATCCAGGTATAATAGTGTGGATTAGTCCGATAATTGTACGAATCAATCCGAGTGAAATTGTGAATCCTAAATCAGTCTGGTGTAATCTTAAGCCTCTTGTTATGCTTACTAGACTAACAAGAATTTTATTTAATATTAAAAAAATAAGACTTACATAAGGTGGTGTACAATAAATAGCTTGACACCACATGGGTTCCGAGTGATAGCAGACACACAGACTGCATACTGCAGGTCCTGGAACGTATAATAAACCATGTTTCACCGTTCCTCCTTGAAAGTCTGTACAATTTTCCTCTAGGGCCTCTAAAAAATAAAAAATTTCGTAAATTACATAAATTATGTTTTATTTAATAATATAGTATTAAAAAATAGTGAAAAAAAGTTTATTTTGGTATAGAAAAATGCAACACACAATATTGATTTTCTATCTGACTCATGCAATGTAAAATTTCACTACAATAACATATATAATTATTTCTCTTAACCTTGTACAAAAGAAATTATTCGGCAGAGTCGTTTCGTATAGGGAGTTATTGACAAAAAGAACCTTGAAAATGGATGAACTGAATATTATATTTCACCAATAAGCAATTAAATTTTTAAAAATATTTAGTTTTTTGTTTTTGTTGGACAGCATAAAATTTATTGAGAGAGAGTTCGAAAAATTTATTTTTGATATTAGAATCAAAATTACTCTTTTCGATGCAAGATTCGATTTTTTTGCCGTTTTTTATTAAGAGAAGAAATATTTAGATGAATATCGATAATTTCAATTTTCAATAACTTGAAAAAATCGAGTTTTCAATTTTGTAAATTCATTATAATAATTTTGACTGTAAAAGGTCAAATGGCTAAATCGCATATATCAGTGTTATGAATATGTAGTAGAAAGATGTCATGACTTCTACAGCTCAACAAAAATTGTATACAAGTTCAGCGAAAATTTTATACAACGAAATAAAGGATAACGTTCCAATTCCAAAATCTTATATAAACAATAGTTTTAAACTTCTTCAAAAATTAAAAAGTGTTACTATTCCTTCAGACTATGTTTTGTTATCTTTTGACGTGACTTCTCTTTTTACTAAGATATCCTTAAAGTTAGTCATGGAGAGTCTTGAACGTAGATTACCGATTTTCCCCTTTTTTGTTGATATCGTATAATAAATGACTTGGATATCAATTGTCTCCATATTTTAGGAAACTAACATAACTGTACTGCACTATTTTACTTTAGATATGTTGACGATACCATTTTATGTGTACATAAGGATAATATTGACATAGTTGTTAGTGTTTTTGTGAATTTATGTTTTAACTTGGTGTAACTTATTGTCAGTTGTCACAGTTAAATTCCAATGCACCAATCGTCGAAACTCGGCTTCACATTTTTAATGATATGTCGAAGACGGATTTACCTTTTTTAATTTTCGAAGGCTTATTTTAAAGCTGAGATTCTAACGAAGATTTCTGTGAAACATAAGAATCTCATCCTCTCAAGTTTCTATTGTCATTACCTTTAAATTTTCTTCGCAAATGGGCGCTCGTGAGAGAGCATCAACATGTTGCATTTTCTCGCCGGGAGAATGTCTAATTTCAAAATTAAATTTCGCTTAGCCACCTGCCGATCTGCGAGCTTTAAGTTTTCCAAGCGTTAATATTGACTAAACATCTACAATCAGTGAAAATAACAAATGGTATACCGATCAGGAACTGACGAGGTCTTTTTAACGCCCACGCAATTACCATTAACTCTAAACGGCTAGAATGATACTTTGCCTCGATTTCAGTAGTTTTTCTACTAATGGCATAAACCATACTATAATAATCATTCGAAAATTTGAATTTAACACTGTGGAAGCTCTCATTGTATATACGGAAGCGCCCATATCAATTTGAGCTGTCAAAATTACATTATTAACCCGAATTTCACGAACAAATTTAGAAAAAGATTGATCAATTTCCGACCTGTTTACTAATTTTACTTCTCCCGAGACTTCTTTATTTTTATTTTCAAGTAAAAGAGGACGTCAAGGCGCTATATGATCCTGAGTATTACACTTAAAACATACAATTTCACGTTTAGGACAAGGACAATTTTTTATTAAATGACTTGTATAGCCACAACGATGACATTTTCTTACCGATGATTTTGATGACTCAAACTTGTTTGCTCTCACTGCATTCTCCGACATCTTAGAATCAGCTGCTCCTCCGGAACCAGGAACCACCATGACTGACACATTTCCTTCTGCCTTGCGACCAGCAATATGTGATCGACGACGACTATCCACGCTTTCGAACCTCAACAACTCCTGCAAAATTCCACCGGTAGAGTTGAACGTTTGCACCATAAGATGCCCAGCCGCTTCGCTCAGCCAGAGACCAGCTGCAATCTCATCTCGGATCTCGTTCACGTTTAGTTGTAATTTCGTACAGACCCAAACCTTGTCGTGAAAGTAATTTTGAATAGACTCTTTTGGACCTTGAACTCTCGCCATCATCGTATTTAACTTCTCGGGTTTACTGTGTGATATTAAGAAAGTTGATTTAAATGTTTGAACAAACGTATTACAATCATGAATATCTGCTGATTTCGTTAGTAACCATTTGAGGGCCGCTTCTCTCATTCGAGACTTCCCAATGCTTCACGCCACTGCATCACTCCACTCGTAAATAATTTTGGCACTTTCAAACTTCTCAATCCAAACTCTCGCCTTTACTCCCCAAAAATTCACTAATAACACTTCGAGGATCCGACAGTATTTGTTGTAAACTTCCGCCTTGTTCTGAAGTTGATGTCTGAGTTAGGGATAATGTTTTTTGGAACTGCTGCAAAGTTTGTCCAATTTGAGTCAATGCCTGTGCCAAAACGTCTTGTGAGCCAGCTGATGCTGCAAAACTCTCCATATGTTGATGAGTGCTGCTCTCTGTCAACGCTTGTTGTAAATTCGTAATTTCGTTCCTTGATTCCGTCAAACGTCGGTCATGTTCGTCTTTTTCCTCAGCTCTCCTTATCATTTGCCTCTCAACTTCTGCGTCAAGTCTTTTCGCTTCCTTCATCAACGCTTCATATTTTTCCTTGTCCGCCATTTTTCTCGTTACAATAGTAGAGTTGTAAAATTTTCGCTGAAAGTCCTCAAAGTTATCATCCATGAATTTCCAACTTAAGACAGGAACTTTCCACAGATTTCACATTTTACTACACTAGCATACATTACTCTAGCACTGTTTTCTACTTTGCAAGCCACGTGTGAACTTCAAACCACTTAAGACTCCTGCACGGAAATTTTATTTTTTTTTTAACAGAAAGAAATAATTCAACCGCACAAAGGTGGATTTTCTTAAAAATATCCCACTTCTGAATTTGTTGCAAACTTTTTAAAATAAAGATGACGGGTACCAAGGAAGCTACGGAGTTTCAGGCAAAATGAAACACAGAGATTTAGTCACTGAATTTAAAATATTAAACACAGTTTATTAAGAATGAATAAAAATAATTTGATTTAGGATTTAACAATTTGAGATTCGCGCAGCATACTGCCTTTAAAATACACACACATTTATAACTCAACTCGACCGACGCTTATAACAATTCGCAAAGCTTGGCTCCCGATACGTACGACCAAACTCTCTGCTTTACACAAAGGCTCTGCCCGCCAAGGACTACCAAACTTATTTTTTCCTCGCTTATCAGTAATAAATCCCGCGTAAACTAAATTTCCCAATTCCGAAAATAAACTAGGAACACTGGAAGTATAAAATACATTTACTACGAAAATTTAAATTCTAACACTCTATAACTCAAAAAATAGTTAACGAAATGACTTTAAAGACGGCTAATTTTACGCAAAATTTAATCAGCTTTCTAACCGTATTTATGTATTTTTGTATCTCCTTTTATTTACGAGATATGATTGAAAAAGCGATAGCATGTTTTTTTATAGAGTCGCGTGTAATCGTCCTGATACTCGTGGACGGTAGTGTAAATATTACACGAATCAAAAAATTGAAATATAAAACCTACGTGTGTTCCCATATAGATTCTCATATGGGTTCCCATATAAGTTATAATATTTGCCGTACAATTTCCAAATAATAAAATTGGGAACCCACACTAGAACATACCCACATAGCACAGTATTTTTCGGCAAATTCGCCATGCAAAGTTCGCAAGTTTGCAGCAAACTTGCATACGTATAAAAATGTCACCCACTTGGCAAGTTTGCACTGCAAGTTTGTAGCAAACTTGCGTCAAATATTAAAAACTTAAATGTATGTGCAGTAGTTTTCTATTACATCTAGAGCTGCGCACGAGGTTAAAGAGCAAAAATATGAAAGTAACTTGTTAAGGAGGTTCTATTGATAATTGATTTAATGAACAGATTTTTATAAAAATTTATGTGCAGCTAGATAAAGTTAATATAAAGGCGTAGTTAAATTTTTGAGACCTTTAGGTACCTATGAAAAAATTGGAGCACGAAATTTAAATGACTCACCAAGTGAGTCAAATCATTAAATATTTGTTACTGTTTTGACTAGCTGCGTTAAGCGATAGAACTTCCTTAAAGACTGAATAAACATATGATTAATTAATGGGAAAGTAATATTTATTATAATGAAATGGATATACACGATGTGCACATTTCGTCATGACTCGCCATGTTACTACAAGGAATAAATGTCCCTAACATTTGGCGATCCAAAATTAAAATGTCGACCTCGAAATCGTAGTTACAAATTAAAATGATTAACGTCGAATTATAAACGTATATAATGAAATATAATTCTGATTTAAACAAACATAGGATATTTCTTACTAACTGACACTTCCAAAGTTCATAAAATAAAAATGTTCTCCATTTATATTAGTTGTCAAAACCTAAACGTTTCGGAGGTTTTCTCGATCTCTTTGGTCTTGAACGTAATTCTTTCTTGTCCGAGTTTGCTTCCGATGGTTCCGCTGCTGAGTGTTGCTCCTGACGCAATTCGTATCGTCATTTTCGGAAGTTGATGAGTCTGAATTCGAGTCAATCTCGATCAAATTCATTGAGCTGTCGGGTTTCCACATTTTTAGTTGACTGACGTGTGAGGTTGATGCGTATCTTCTGCTTCGGACATTCTTTCGGAGTGTAGCGACTCCAAAAGTGTTTCCTGGTTTAATTTTCGTTATGACCAGTGGTTTGTACCTTGCTCGAACCTTCGATGATTCTTCCGGTGCATATTTCGCTGCTTGCATCATGACTATGTCGCCTATTTCGAATTCAGTGTTTTTCAGAAAACGATTTAAATTCCTCTGATGT